ATCTTATTTTGAATCGAGTTTTCTGAGTTGTTTTGCATTATCTGTTGCATTTGGTCTCACAGAATTTTCAAACAAAGAAACATTTTTTATCAATTCTTGGAGTTGTTTGATTCCAATTGGATGGATTTTTTGAACAGTTTTGCCTTTTTTTGAGAGCACTTTAATCTCTTTCTTTACAACTTCTCTTAATTCTTTATTTTTCCCCATGGTAACAGTCATCAATGGATTTTAAATGTTACAAAGACAGAAATTATTATTTTTTGACTTTTACTTATATTATCTTAAGCTACTAGGATACTTATAGAACCTTACATCATAAACTTTATTGAAGATCTTGACCAAAAATTAGCAGAAAGTAACTGTCCAGAACTTTTTTCCACAATTATTTTAATTTTTCTTACCAAAAGAGATATCTACCTAGTGTAGTAAATGTTTGATCACTTAGATAGAGCTTTTTGAGAGCTGCAAAAATATATATTAGAGTACAGCGAATTTTTTTTTTTTTTTTCTAAAAGCTTAGGAAAAGGTGTACTTTTATGTAAAATCAAATTTTAAAGAGGGTTTTTTTAAAAAAAAATTTTGATCGGAAAAAGTTTTGATACCCAAATATGGACTTTTAGAATTAGCAAAAATTAGTAAAATCTAATTTGTCACATGTCCTTCATTGTATTTTATATTTTCATTTTCATTGCGATAAAATATTAAATGCAAATAATATTTTTAGATTATTGAAAGTTTTTTAGATTTTAAAATCTAAAAAACTTTCAATAATAATAAAAGTTTTCAATAAAAGTTTTTTACTTTTTAAAATCATTATCTTGCATGGATCCTATCTGCAGTGCAGATTCTGCATTTTTTAGAGGGAGGAGGAGGGGGTATTCAATTTTTTATGAGGTTCTAATGATTAAAAAATTTGATCATAACAGTTCTTTATACTTTCATCAAAAAATAGGTGGTTTATCCCCCTATCTTACCCCAATAATATTTTGATAGAACTACTAAAACACTATTAAAAAACAAATAAAATAAAAATCTATTGAAGTTAAAAATTTAATAAAATTTCTTTCTTTGTTTTAAAAACAGGTAGCAACTCTCTATGCTGAGCTCTAGCTCTAATATACCCATCTCTTGCATATGGTCCAACTACTGACATGGATGCTACTGTCACTTGTTTTACAGCACGTTCAGTACTTTGAGTATGAACTTTAATCGAAGGAGTTATTAAAGGTATCAATCTAAGTAATAACAACTTATCTCTGGTGAGCGAACAGGTAAAAACAGGTTCTTCTACAACACCATTTTCCCATTTAACTAGCTCTTGAAGAGTAGTTGCTGCAAAGTTAAGTTTAGGTGTTTTTCTTGGTCTGATTCGCATATCTCCAAGGATATCATTACCCCTTAGTTTCAAAATTTGATCAACTGCAAAATTGCAATCTTCTGCATTATTACTAGATAATAAAGAGATTAGTATACTTTCATGGTTCGCATACCAAGCCCCTAACTGGATGTAGGGAAACACGATTTCTTTTACTCTATCAGGTTGCATTCTATAAATTCTTAATTGAGACAGAATGTTATAAGAAGCATCTTCAAGTCTGTTTTTGACCCTTATGTCAAAAAAAAGTTTAAAGTAAAATTGTAAACAAAATACAACAAGTATTTCTAAATTTTGTGAATTTTGATCATTCAAGTTGTGTTTCCTTGTCCACATAAAGACTATTCTCATGCCAGTAGTGAGCCATCTGGCATGACTTAAGTGGCCACATTGAATTTCTCTAAGATTAGGTGGCAATTAACCAATCTTAACTGCTTTACATAGCTTGTAACATTGTTTCTGATCTGTTGACATATTTTTTAATATTGTTTTTGGAATGTCGACAAAACTCTCTCCATTTGGAAGAGCTTTAAATTGAGAATTATACTCCATTTTATTAACATCAGGAAGAAATTTTCCCACAGGACCTACAAATCCAGTACTACATGATGTTGGTCCATCAATGCCTTCTATAAGGTGACGCAAAAATAATTCATTCAAATGAAGCATGCATATAGCCCAGTGGCACTTGTGACCTAACAGCTTTTCAAGATGCGTTATAGCACCACCTTTCCAGCCTGTGTTAATTGAAGTACTGTCAGCTCCAAGTACTAAACATGATTCAGTAAGATTATATTGTTGCAGCAAATTATAAACACCTTCAGCAATCTTTTTAGCTGGCTTATCTAGATGATTAGGTGCATTTGGGGTAAAATGGCCAAGATATCGACCACCAGGTTCTATAGTCACAGTAATGTGCTGCTCTTTGATAATAATAGGATGTCCATTTGAATCATTTATCATTGCTCTTGTTGAATCTTTACTTCCGTCAAAGTAAATGGCAATATTATCTGCTTTCGGAAGTTTTAAATTATCATTTTTCTTCGCAACTACCATCACCTTTTTTCTCTCTCTCGTCAACTTAGAAGGATCACAAGCAAGGTAAGAGGACTCAGGGGTGAGAAATCCTGCTTCAATTAAATCTTGAAGATAACTTGTAGCAATTGCTGCAGTTGCAGCAGGTGAAATCCCAAACCTATAAAATAAGAATGGTTTATATTTATTTCTATTAACTCATGTTGCTGCTCAACAAAACAAAAGTCAATATAATTACCTTATACTAGCCATAGCTGTGTTTTTTATTGACATTGTGTTATATCTTGACTTCTTTTCTAAAAACTTTGTTACAAGGAAAGCATAGACACCTAACTTTTCCTTTAGCAGCCTTTTAACCAAAATCTTAATTTCATTGTCTTGTTTTAAAGTTAAGTTAGCATTATCTAGATTAGAGTTTTCATCGAGAAAGCCAGGAAAAATATTTTTTTGATGTTCTTTATCTAATTCTATATCTTCTTCTTCTGCGACCTAAAATCAAATTAAAACCAAAATACATATATATATATATATATATATATATATATATATATATATATATACATATATATATATATATATATATATATATATATATATATATATATATATATATATATATATATATATATATATATATATATATATTATTGTTATTATTATTATTTTTATACGAAAAAAGAAAATATTTATTATTAAGAAATTATATTTACCTCGAAGAATGCTTGTTCCTCCTCTATTTTTTTAATTCTTTTCTTGTAAGCTTCTTCATCGCTGACTTTTCTCTTATACTTTTTTCTTAGTTTCATTGTCTCAATCTTATCAGCATGTCCCATCTGCATGTCAGACTTTTCACCTGTCTTATTTCTTTGACTGTATAACCACCTGAGCTCCATAGTTGGAGTTTTTTTAGAATAAATACAGGTGCAATTTATATGTGCTTTATTTTTACAATTTTTGGGGGAAGAACACCCAGACAGATCATGCTCGCATAGAAGTATTGTGTGAGGACATGTTATGAGGTCCATTAATCTAACTTCAATATTAGCTCTTCTTTTACTTTTACCTTAGTTCTTCCCCATGCAACGTTTTCTACTTTCTCCCAAAGTGTTTTTATTCTATAATAAAGCGTTTTCTCCCCAATAATAACTGGTTGTTGAAATAAAATACTTGCTTTTTTCCATTGAGCAAGAACAAGTGGAATTAGATCGCTAGCAAGATCTTTGTTAGAATATTAATTTTGGTGTAAATTGCATGTTATGCTTTTTTGTTCTTTTAATAAAATTCCTTTTTGAATAACTGCTCTGTTTGTAGGCAGCTCACTAGGAATAAAATCTTTTCCAGGTCCAACAAACTCAGAAATTCTAGTGGTGGATGAATATCTAGTTTTAACTTTCGACATTTATGAATAAATTGATAATATAACAAATAAAATATTTACAGACTACGATCTTGTTTAGATGTTTTTTACGGTGGAGAGCTAAGAATTTCTTTAAAAATTGATTTGGCACTGCGCTTATTATGAGAAACTAAACATAAAACCGGATTAAATTTACTTTATAATAATTAAAGTATATTTCATTTTAATAATGTCTAAATATGAAAATTTGGGTATCAAAACATTTTCTAATCAAAAAGTTGTCCATAGCAAACCTACCTTAAAATTTAATTTTACATAAGAATACACCTTTTCCTAAGCTTTAATTTTATTTTTTTCAAAAACATATGAAATTCACTGTACCCTAATATATATAACAGTATGAGGTTTCATTCATTTATTATATATAATAAATGAATGAAACCTCATACTGTTATATATTTTTGCAGCTCTCGAAAAGCTCTTTCTAAGCTCTATCTAAGCTCTATCTATCTATCTAACATATATACATACATACATACATACATACATACATACATACATACATACATACATACATACATACATACATACATACATACATACATACAGTTACAGAAAAAAGTATCCAGACAAACTATTTTTAGATATAGTTCTATATATAGAACTATATCTAAAAATAGTTTGTCTGGATACTTTTTTCTGTAACTGTATGTATGTATGTATGTATGTATGTATGTATGTATGTATGTATGTATGTATGTATGTATGTATGTATGTATGTATGTATGTATGTATGTATGTATGAGTGTATTATAATATACAAGGTACGATTTATCTCTGCTTTGAATTAGTATAATACAAAAATAGTATTATAATATATTTAACTACATTGTAAACGGGTTTTTTTTTTTGTGTGTGTGTGAAATATATTATTTAATTATGGCATATTGACAATAGTTTAAATACATACAATTAAATATAATATAGTTATAAAATATATAAATAAAACGCGTACAATAAATACTCACTGAAAAATTTATATTTTAAAAAGCAAAACAAGCGCGATTATTTTGATTTTAAAAACTTATATACATTTAGTACAGCTTAAGAAAATTTTTAAAATAATTTTTTATTTAACTCTTATATAACTTTAAAATTTTAAGATAGAAATTGATTGTAAAATTTGGAGTATTTAAATCTTATACTAAACCCTGTTTGTATTTATACACTTACAAGAGTTCCAAATTGCTCCTTAATATATTGATCTACCGAAGCACTGCCACCAAACCAAATTCCAAGTCTTTCTTTTTCAGATATTGATTCACTAAACCAATAGTTGTACACATCGTTGGCAGTTGAAGCCATTGTTTATAAGTAATAGTAATGAACTCGGAAACACGGTTTAGGGATTTGCGTTGTCTACAATAATCTTTAGCGAACTTTTGATTAAGTCCGCATACTTTTCTATTCTCAATGCTGTTTTTAAATTGTTGCTTAGATTATGTTGAGCTATTACTCAAACCTTGTCTTTTTCTCTGAATTACGTGTTCGACACCTGTTACTTTTTAAAAAGGTTAAAAAAAATCTTTGTATTGAACGCCAAATTGCTTTGAACTTTTTTTTCTTTGTATTTTAACAGCCTATTTTATTTGAACTTTTTTTGCCGCAATACTTATATATTGATTTAATTTACGCTTGACAAAGTAATGTACAATTTAATTAAAGTATCCTTTATATTAAAGGTTTTTCTTAATAAAAAAAAAAAGGCCTTCTAAAAAAAAAGTGAAGGGAGGGGGGGGGGACACGTTCCTCACTGGCCCCCCGGTGTCAACGGCCCTCATTGTTGAAATACAATACATTGTTGGAAATACATGTTAATTTTGATAATAAAAGTGTAAAAACATTTCGCTCATTTACTCACAATTTTATATAACCACTAATTTCTCTTTTTAAATCTAAACTTATTATTTTGTCACTATCGTTTCCGGAAATATCATCTTCATCGTCAAATGATAACTTAATTTTTTTTAATTTGTTTGTCACCTTTTTAAATAGAATTAAATCATAAACTTTTTTTGTTTAATGAAATTTCGACAAAAACTCTCTAACGCATTTAAAAAATTTTTTTCCCTTGTACTTTTCAAAGAATTGAAACTTTTATAATTTGGATCCAAAAAAGTGGCACATAATAAAACCGAATTATTGTAATATACTGTAGCTTACAGGGCAGAACAAGTAGGTAACACGTAGAGAATGCCGTTAAAATTTTACTTACTAGAAAAAGGAAAAAAAAATTCTTGTTTTTTTAAATTTACCAACTGACAGTTCTGAAAATCTACATTTGCCAACTTACTTATCTAAAAAGAGTCAAATTGGCTTACTAAATGAGCTAAAAGTTCATTGATGGGATGTCAAACACGAAACCAACTAACCCATCTTTACACCCCTTTGCGTTGGCCTTGGTGGCTTATTCAATTCTATAGATATTTGTGTTTTACTATGTTTACTTTTTGGATTTTTTATGAAAAATTTTCTTGAAGTATCTTGATACACTGACACTAAACCTTTGGAACTGATGATTGAAAGAAAATTATTTTGGTATTTTTTTTATTTTTGCGGTATTATGCGATAAAATGATTATGCATTCGCATAATCAAAAATTCTTATTCAAAAATTCTAATAGAAATGATATCATGAACCCAAATTATTTATATAATGTATTTATAAAATTCTTTAGTTAGACTAAAAACAAAATCGCGTATATTTAGTTAACAAAAAGCTTAGTCGGTTAATTTTAGTTAACTAGAAAGTTAGTCGGGTAATTTTAGTTAACTAAAAAGTTAGTCGACTGATGTTAGTTAACTAAAAAGTTAATCAACTGATTATAGTTAACTAAAAAGTTAGTCGACTAATTTAAGTTAACTAAAAAGTTAGTCGCGTAATTTTAGTTAACTAAAAAGTTAGTCGACTGATTTTAGTTAACTAAAAAGTTAGTCGACTGATTTTAGTTAACTAAAAAGTTAGTCGACTAATTTTAGTTAACTAAAAAGTTAGTCAACTAATTTTAGTTACGGTATTTTTAGTTTAGTTAGTTACAATTTAGTTTTGGTCACAACAATAATCTTTATTATGAATACCTTCACGATTAATTCTGCGGTTGACAATCTTCCACAGGTTCTCAATAGGGTTGAGATTCGGAGATTGAGGCAGCCAATCCATCACCGATAGGTGGTTCTCTTGAAATCACTGCTTGAGTACTATTGCAGTGTGTCACGGATCGTTGTCTTGCTGAAAAACCCGTTTTATTGCCATATTCCATTCAGCATGAGGTAACATAACATCTTTCAGGATATTTTTATACTTAAAACGGTCCATTATTTCATTGATTTGATGTATTGGACCTAGACCGTTAGCAGAAAAACACCCTCAGATCATTACATTGCCTCCACCATGCTTCATGGTCTTATGGCAGTAACATAAATTGCGGCGTTTTCTGGCTGGTCGACGTACACGGCAAATGCCATCGCTTCCAATGATGTTGAACTTCGATTCATCACTGAACAGGACAGTTCACCATTTCTGCACATTCCAGTCAATATGAGATGAGCAAACAGGAGTCTTTTCTTCTGGTTCTTTAGTGAAATCAGCGGTTTCTTTGCAGGGCGTCGAGAAAACAATCCGGCTTCAACAGCACGTCGTCTGATTGTTTGGTTCATTACAGGCAGCTCTAATTGCTTTTTTACCCCAACTGATGATATCCAGGGATCCTTCTTGACGGATCTGACGATCATAGAAGTGATGGAACGCGGTCTTCTACCTTTGTTATCTGCTGCCAACTTCACCGTAGAACGATATTTGGAACATAGTCTTGATACGGTCCATTTTTTCACGCGATATTTATCACAAATACTTTTTTGTGACATTTCACTTTCGTAATCGCCAATAATTTTCATTCTTAATTCCAATCCAAGACTGTCGGGAGCCATTTTTGCACTTGGATGCTTCTGAATGTTTCTGGATACTTCTGGATGCATCTGGATGCTTCCAGATGCATCTTCTGGAAACTTCTGCATGCTTCTGGAAACTTCTGGAAATTTCTGGATACTTCCTTTAATTATTAAAAAACTTATGTGATGTTGACACGGACCAGATTTAAGAAAATGAAACAAACCAAAAAAGTTGCACTTGTTTTGTCCGCTGCAAAATGGCACTTGTCAACGAAATTCTGCCTGTGTGCTGTCACCTGTCAGCTGTTTGCTCGTGTCATGGCATGCTATGACTCCAGACTCCTGAACTGTTTGTTGTGGTAGTATAGTTCGTTTCGTTTTTAAGACATGTAAAATTAGGAACACTTTTAGCATTGTTCGATGTTGGTTGCAAATGTTTTGTCCAATACTGTATAAAACTTTGTATAGACGAGTACGAACGTCTGTGTCCGCTGTGTTGAAGCAAAATGATTCATTGATAATTCAAAGCCAATGCTCTCAGTAAGCTCACATTTGATTAAAAATAATGTCAATCCATTTGTCATTAATGATCACAGATAATTTTTTATCTTTAGACTTCTGAAACTACTTTCATCATAACCAGATGTAAAAGGAAGAGTTAAATTAATTTTGTAGAGTATAGACATTATAGGAAAACAAGATGTCATCTCATGATGTCATCTATTTCTCTTTTAAGAATGGATGTCTTTCAGTCGTAGTTCAGTTGTCATGGAGATATTGATGCATACAGATCTTTGAAAGAAGGCCGGCGCGAGTAGGTTTTAAGTGGGGAGCGGTTGCTCTACAGGTTTTTGCCGAAAATATTTTCAACACATAAAAACAAATCTAAATTGCTCCACAATGTTGAAATCAGGTAATTTATAATTTTTGGTTTTTTTCCTTGAAAAAAAGTTGTTTACCGCTGGCAAATTCATTATAGTTTTCTGAACATCTGTCACTGTACAGTCACAATAGTTTTCATACACCAAATTATGTTAAAAAAGCTATTGACTGAGTATATTAAGCTTACAAGAAATATTTTCTTTAAACAAAAGTCTCCGTTTTGTTTTCTGCTATAAATGCATGCACATTTGTAAAGCAGGTATGCAAAAAATGGTTTTTGGTACCAAGTTTTCTAATTCCGTTAAAAATAAACGCAGAGTTTTGTAATATGAAACATAATATTTCAGGGGAGCAGAGTTTACCGGTCTAGGTAGCGGGGGAAGGGGGGAAGGGGGAAATGAGCTTTTTCTCCCACGCTTTATGCTGAAATTGCCACTACTTGTAACATTATTGGTTATCAAAAATTCTTTAATCAACGTATATACATTTTGCTTATTTGTTTAATTGCTTAAAACAGTTTTTTTTTTTTTAATTGTTCAAATAAGACAAAAACTTAGCAATACTTTAATAATAGTTTATTATGAAGTAATATAGGCTGACGACAAGGGTTTTAAAGTAGGGCTTCACAATCGTTAATTTCTAAAAAAAAACTCCTCTATATTTTGAGATTAAAAAAAAAAATGATACATATGTATCATACCATGTTTTTATTTCTTAAACTTTAAAATCTTTACAAAAATCTTCATCTTAAATCTTCAAAAAAAAAATTAAAGAATTTAAAACTCGTGAAGATTTTTACCATTCTACATTTTCAACCTGATTTGCGTATAGAAAAAAACGATAGAAATTAAGAAAATACGACAGACTTTGTTTGTTTGTTTTACATTTGATTGTTGTACAATTTTATGTGACCGAAAATTAAAAAATGGAAAATTCGAAAGATGGTTAAAAACTGAACCTTATAAGACTTCACAGGATATATTAAAAAAAGTAGTTTGATAACCATCGTTACTTAGAACAAATTGTTTTCGATTTGACCAATAAATGTCTGTTAAAATAATACGTGACTGTCTTTAAGGGGGAAGGGGGTATTGTCAAGTGTCACTAATTATCACATGGGGAAGGGGATGATTTGCTAGAGTGTGACGTGACAAATAACATTTTAAATTTAATTTTTTATCACTGCGCATTTTTTTTTTAAATTGCGAACTCGTATATATTTATTTATAAGGAAAATTTCAAGAAAAATGATATGCAACGACTTCACAAGTGGCGTTTATTTTTTAACGAAGTCATAACAAATAAAAATAAAAAAATTAAATTAGTTTTCTTATACATTCACCTTATTAAAAGCACAAAATTCTGAGCATAAATATAATGCAGACACAAAATTTAAAATCACCTTCTTAAAATCACAATCGCTTGTCTATATTTGAATAATATTTTAAGTAAATACGCTGTTTAGGTAAAATAACATTCTGTTATAATGGCGTAACTAGGGGGAGCATAACTCCGCAAGGCGGGGGGACCTGGAGCTTAGAGGGCCCCGCGGAGATTTACAAATTTTACTCATGTGAATAATATGACTGGTAATAATAATATGAGTGTTACTAATTTCTGTTTTATCAAATTTTAGGGCCACTTCTATTTCTTGTTTATATAAACGATTTAAATAAATTTTCTAACATTTTAAATACAATTTTATTTGCAGATGATACCAGCTTGTTTTATTCCAATAAAGATATCAATATATTATTCCAAACATTAAACAAAGAACTAGACAAACTAACCCAATGGT